TGTTAAAAATGTTTCCACCCTCCATCCCCGATCCCTGCCGGTCTGCCACGGCTCGGAGTCCGGGCTTTATGAGCACTAGAGGCCGAGGTCCGGACCCCGGCCTTCAACGGGTCGGTAGCTCGTTTGATCCTCCGCGGTGACTCGCTCGCTTTGAATTTTGTCATCAGTCACCAAACGCAAAAACGCCTGGACTTCAACATTAGACCACGTTGTTGTCATTATTGTTCTTAAAATCTTAAAAATAGATCCAGCTGCTGCTCCAAGCTCGAGTAATTGCAAATGGCAAATCGATTGTTTTGAAAAGTTTCTCAAAGATCCAGTGACTCCGCCCCCTGACCAATCGGTGACTGACAGTGTTCTGACGTCACATTTGGGTGCTGGCTCAGCTCACTTGGTACCCCAAAGAAATGGGTCCAGTTCCACGAAAAATTGCTAGTGGAAAAAGCCGTTGAGTCGAGTCGTGCGGAAGAGAAGCTATGGAAAAGGGGCTTAACAGTGACTTTCTTCATTTTTGTATTAAAACTCTGAGGGTGGTGTCTAATGAAATATTTTCCCTTTACAGTTTGTGCATAAACGCAGAAAAAGGAGTAGAATCAAATCACATTTTTTTTCTGCTTTTTTAAACAGTCCCAGAGGCCTTGGAACAGTCTGTACAGCTGATTCCAACATACATGCCCGCAAGCATATGTGTGCTCACACACACATCAGCACGTGCACACTCTAAGTTCTCCAACCAGTCAGTCAGAGCTGGTCCTCTGCCATATTTGAAATTGGCAAATGGGCAAAAGAGAATGGGCCTTAACATTCACATGGTTTTTGGAAGCTAGAGGCCTGAATTTCCAAAGAAATGGATGATGGCCAGGACATATTCCATTTCACTCTGCGAGTCAGACACATGAGGTAGCAAATATGTTCTCAAGAAATGAAGTTCACATCCTCAGAGGCAGAGCTTAGACCAAGTCTGCAACTTTTGTTGACTTTACAACAGTACTTTAAATTTCAGCTGCTCACAGTGTTGAAATGTTCTCGTCATTGTGATATTAAAGTGCAGAGTGTCATTGTTGCAAAGGACTGCTTGGACTGCAATAAATCATAGCCTGTTAGAGTCCAAGTGCCTCACATTCCCACTCTGCATGCCAACAATTCTTGGCAAAACAAAAAAAAAACGCTCTGCACTTGATGCCCACAGCCGATCGACTGGAATACTAAAGCATTTGTGTCGTTAGCGTCTTGATGACGGGAGAGAAAAGGTGATCGAAGAAGAAGTGCACTTGATAGAGGCGCCTGATCAGTGAACTGTTCCCCCGTTTTTATAAATGGGTACAGACCTCTGAACTTGTTTCCTCGCCTCTTGACCTAAAAAGAACAAGCTCTCACTCCAAGTAAGAGTTTTTTTTTTTAGGTTCCAAATTAAAACATTGCTGTTAAAGAATTGTTAAACCCCACACTCCCCCTTCTTACCTCACCAGACCTTTCAGTCCAACTCACCAGTATCTGGGCCAGCTCATTAGTCAGACTTTAGACTTTCGTGTCATCTCCACAACTGAGCGTTGTTTCTCTTTGACTGCGAATCAAACAGAATAAACATAAAACGACTTTTAAATCGGTTTGTTTATGTTAAAGGAATTACAAAGTTTTCCTTACCCTTTCCACTTTTTGTACAAAAACACTTCCTCTAATTAGCACAAGGTCTTTACAGTCCAATAATGTTGCTTATATGTTTGCAGAGTTTACCAGTTTGAAGCCACCTAATTATAAACCTTTATTTGTACAACCTGTAACAAGCATTAAGTGAAGAACCAGTTATAAGTGATGGGAACATTAAACACTGGATGGCTCAATGGTTGAACAGTCTGTTAAGCTAGTCAGTTTATGAAAATGAAGCTGATCTGAATTAATTTTAGTTCAACAATCTTTAAAAGTTCATTTGATTGAACCTTTTTTTTTTCCACTTCTCTCCATTTATCTCAGCGTTTCATCCAGTACCTGGCCTCCAGAAACACACTGTTTAATCTGAACAACTTCTTGGATAAGGGAGCCCTGCAAGGTAAATAATGTTGTTTTTTTGTTTTTTTTGAAGATCCAGATGATGTATATAAATATATGCTTTACAGGAAATTAGAGGGTTCAGATTATTAAAATTAAGTATTTATGAATCAAATCTACAAACGAAACAAATGTAGCTCATTTGCTGCACTTTTCTACAGCACAATCAGTTTTTCACCTTCTGAATGTTTTTTTTCTCAATCCCTCCTTCAGGTTATGATATGTCCACCTTCATCAGACGATACAGTCGCTACCTAAATGAAAAGGCCATGTCTTATCGACTGGTGGCTGTGGATTTCACCAAGATGAAGAGGGGGTAGGGTTGGTCACACACAAACATAAGATCATAAACAAATTTCTCTCTATTCTTTACTGCACCAAGATACACCGTTTGCTTTTGAAAGGTCTGTTTATGCAATGCTAATTTTGAGTGAAACCATAGCATTTCTGTTGTTTTAGCTGTTTGTGTACACAACAGCTGTCATTTTTTTCTGCTACAGAAGCTTTTTGAATCCAGGAGTAAGACTGAAAGTTTTTAGAAAAAACCTGTATCTGTTTAAAATCACAAAAGTAGATGAACAACAGTATTGATGGGGGATGGCACATCAACCCAGCCTCATCCTTGGTCTAAATGAATGTTGGTGTATCCACCATTTTGAATGGAACCGTTTCCATGCTAAAGACTGAAAACTCTGCGCACATGCGCATGTTGTTGAAATATAAATATTACAGGGCCAACTTTTCACCTGGCATGGAAACTACAGCAGATTCATCAAATCAAGCAATCATCACTGAAAAAACACTGTTTCTAGAGATTGTTCATGTGTAAACTGGCTCTAAAACATTGGAAACTGTCCCTCTAATTCACACTTTCATGCATGTGACCAAAGTGGACAATATTTGCAGATGACATTGTGCTCTGTGGTGAGAACAGGTGGAAGAGAACATGGAGAGGTGGAGGTATGCACTTGAAAGAACTTTGATTTAACATTTATTTATACACCAAAGTGTATAAATATTTATACAGGTTAGTCTTGGTGAGTCACAAGGACTCCTTTTCAAGAGGGACCTGTTTTAGACAGACAACTTATAGAATAGAAACAAGGCATGTGTGTGAATGATAGAGAGGCAGGTGGAACAATGAGGCAACGGAGCAGGGGTCACAAAGCTGCAGGACGTCGAGTATCAAGGGTCCACTGCCCCAGAAAATGGGAAGTGTGGTAAAGATGTGAAGAAGAGAGGCCAGGCAGGATGGAGTGGATGGAGAAAAGGTCGTCTACAAAAGTCAGAATGGTTTACAGGACAGTGGTGGGACCAGCTCTGCTGTATGGTTTGGTGACAGTGGCACTGACCAAAAGACAGGAGAAAGAACTGGAAGTGGCATAAATGAAGATGTTGAGGTTCTTCTTAGGTGTGACCAAGATGGATAAGATTAGGAATGAGATCATCAGAGGAACAGCACAGGTTGAACAACTGGGAGATAAAGTTAGGGAGGCCAGACTGAGATGGATTAGACGTGTCCAGAGGAGGAACAGTGGGTATACTGGTAGAAGGATGTTAGAAATGCAGCTGCCAGGAACAAGACAAAGAGGAGATCTATGGATGCAGTTAGAGAGGACATGGAGGTAGTTGGAGTGAGGACAGAGGATGCAGAGGACAGAGTGAGATGGATGAGGATGACTTGCTGTGGTGTGACCCCTTAAGCGGGAACAACTGAAAGAAAAGGAAGCAGTACATGTGACCAAAGTATCTCTCTATCAGCCAAGTTAATGAAGACCACAATGACTCTCCTTTGGTAGGTGTAGTGAGTTTTAATCTGCATGTGAATTTGTCTTCATAAACAACATCTCGTGCAATTTAAATTTAGGAACTCCACACTCTCCAGTTTTCAATTGAGAAAACTCTAGAAGGGATGGGAAGCCTTATGTCTTTACAATATAAGTCCAGTTCTTTAGTTTTCCAAGTTTTAGATGGGGTTGGCCATGTCCTTAATGGCCAGGAATCTAAAACGGAGTATGATCAGTGCATCTCTTGTCAAATGAAAATTATAAGGATTTCAAATTGCTGATAGGCGAATTCTGACTCAAGTGAGGACAGCTGCTTTTTTTGCTTCCAACTGTTCTTGCAAAGATGCTTTATCTATTGTACAGATCTTTAATTTTTCTGTTAAAACAGGAAAAACAAGAGTTTGATGGTAAGAGTAAAGTTTAAAGTTGGCTTTATTAAATATAATTTGCAGAATGTTTATAACGGTAGCCGTTCTTCCTTATAGGTTTTAAGACTTCGTATATTGGTTAAATGTTTCACACAAGTGGCTACTTGTTATTTTTTCCATCCATCCATCCATCCATCCACCCATCCATCCATCCATCCACCCACCCATCCATCCATCCATCCATCCATCCACCCTCCCTCCCTCCCTCCCTCCCTCCCTCCCTCCCTCCCTCC